TTAGTTTCAGGCACTTTTAGGCATGTCTCCTGAACCAGCAGGATTAATCTGCCAGGGATCATGAATACCTAAAAGTTCTTATGGCAATGATGATGGCTGTTAGCCAAACCCTAGGACCAAGACCTTGCCTGTCAAAAAGCCACTTATTAACAGTCCTAGTCCTTGTGTAAGTGAGGGAAGATACTCTTTAAGGTGGATGTATAAAGAGAGTTGAAGTACTAAACTCAATACAGGGACAATGGTCAGGGTTAGAAAGCAACAGATGAATGGCTGAATGCAGAACTTTGAGAAATTTGAGCCCTGAAACAAAAGGGCAACACAGGTGGGGTAGCAGATTCCATATCAACTGAGAGACTGCTAGCAGGAAGGCATGAAGTAGGGTGAGTGTCCTCAGGAGGAATAGCAGTGAACAGGAGTCAATGCATTGATCAGGGATAGGGCCTGGATGTGAACAGAAAGTCTAGAAAGTTCACGGTCCCACTGGTTAGTCTTTTCCATGAGATATTTTGAGCTTAGAGTCTAGCAATTATGCTAACAGGGCCCAGGACAGAAAATTACTATTTTGTTAGTGCTAGTGTTAATTGATTGTGATAGTACAGGCTGGTATAACCTTCAATATTTTACCTAAATTAAAACTATAAAAAAATTATTGGTCATTTTCCTTTCATACTTCCTCTGAGCTCCCAGCATTGAAAGAGCAGAGGTACTCTGGAAGGAGGCAATCTTTCTTATATCATCAACTTTAATAAAATAGGAAACATTTCTCTCCAAATTGTATCATTGTGTCACTCCTCTGCAATTTTCTACTGCATTATTCAAGACAGAAATGGAATTATTTCATTTTTATTAGAGGTAACTTACTTTAACATATTATTAAAATTCAGAAGGCTGCAAATAATTTCTACTGAAATAAAATGCACAAGTAAGAATTATAAAACTGTCTGGTTGAAATCCTCTATTCTCTTGGATACTCTAAGACAAATTTAATTGATTGTATTAGGTGGAACAATTCACTTTTCCACATTATCAGTGGTCTTTACTAGAACTTCATCTTTATTTTTAATTAAGATGTAGTATGTATTCTTCACACAAAAATTTCTGTGATGCTGTGTCCCTTCAGGAGTTAAAATACCAAATTAGTACTATCCCAGAACAATTTCTGCTTTACTAAGCCTTCAAACAGCAACATATTAAAATGTTAGTTAGCACTTACTGATTTATTAATTCTGTTTTCCTATACAAAAAAACAGGAAAAAACAATTTTCAAACACTTATTATGTTCATGCTATTTGAGTCTTTTCTCTAGTTTATATGTACAGAAGTTTTAATATATTTACAATCAAGTCTATCAATCTCCAATTATGATTTTTGTCTTAGACATCATGTTAGACAAGATTATAAAATTATTTGCCACGCTATTTTCCTCCAGTTATGTCTGCCTTTGTTCTGCTTTTATCAATCTGACATGTATTTTTATAATATATAAATAAAATTTCCAAATTTATCTTAACATTAACTAATTATTGCTGTTGTGCTTTTTGAACGATCATTACTTTCTTCATCAATATGAAATGTGGTTTTTCTTATGCATTACTTTTACATGTGCTTTGATCTGTTTGGGGATTTCTCAAACTGATTTGGCTTCTCTAAGTTTCTATGTTAGTAAATAGTACCACACAGTTTTAATAATTGTAACTTTTTAATGTGCTTTAATACTGGGAAATAGCAAGTTTTATATTTCTTTTTTTAATGTACTTTTTCTAGACTGTTCATGCTTCCAGATGAATTTTAATAATCATTTTACCAAGCTCTCCTCCAAAATGTTTTGGGATTTTAAATGAAATTGTACTATCTTTATAATTTGAGGAAACTAACATCTATACAACATCTATTATTCTCATCCAAGACTACAACATAAGCCTCATTACTGCTAATTTTTCTTTCTGCATAACATACTTAACAGACAATTGTTTATCTGTGTTTCTCAATAAATTTTATTTTCTTAATTTAAGTCGTTCACATTTCTTTAATAGTTTATTCATAGCTTTGTGATATTTAATTGCTATTATGAGTTTTCATGTTTTCTATTTGTTGCTGCCATAGAAAAATGAACTGATTTTTACACATTTATCTTTTGTATAGTTACTTAACAAAGTTCATTACTCTAATGGTTCTTCAGTTAATTCTCTTGGGATTATCACTGGTCTTTACTAGAACTTCATCTTTATTTTTAACTATGACATAGTATGTCTTAGTAAAATATATATATTTTAAGGAAAAAAGATGTAACCATTTTTCTAATTATTATAACCTTTGAGAGGCAGCATAACATAATATTTATGATTAAAGACTCATGGGTCAAACCACAGGAGTTTTAATTCAGCTCTGCTACTTATTAGCTGCATGACCTTGGCCATGTTACTTAGTATTTCTTGGCCTCAGCTTCCTAATTTGTCAAATAGAATGATAGTAGTCCATATCTCCTAGGGTTGTTGTGAGAATTAAATGAGTTAATATTTATAAAGCATTTAGAACAGTTCCTAGCATATATGAGAAGAATTCAGAAAATATTTGTCTTTTAAAACAAATATTTTAAACAATTCCATTGGTTAAAATTTGTTAAATGATATTAACTATAAGTGATGAAATTGGTCATGTAATAAGCTATTAGGGTTGTTCTGCTTTCTTGAAATCACTTTTTTATATTTTAATGGTGTCTCTCTATTCCTAAATTACTATACTACATGTATGTGTGTTTTCTTAAAAGAAATATAGTTGCATTTTATCAAATGTCATTTGAAATCTATTTGGAAGTTAAAACATTGGTTTTATTCTTTGGTCTATGACAATGAAATCACTTTAGTAAGTTTCCTGGTACTAAACCACATTCACATTCCTAGAATAAATACCATGTGTTGTATTATTCTATTTTGTTGATATCTACATTCCTTTAGCTAGTATTTCAATAAATTATTATCTTATTTTTTGTGTTACTTTTATTAGTTTTCTTTTTTGACTTTTTTAGTATTGTGCTTCTTATTAAATAAATCAGAAAAATGTTTTCTCTTTCATAGAATTCATAGAGTATAGGGATAATTTGTTCCTTAAGAGTGTATATTTTTAATAATTGATTATAAATAGCTGATGAAAACAAGACACTTTAGTCATTTAAATGTAGTGTTTTAGCTCCTGCCAAACCTTTCTATTCAAGCTGGTCAAGGACATAGGCTTATGCATCTGACAAAATTAGGCTCAAGTCCTAACTTCACCACCCACCTGCTAAATGTGTGCATCTGGCAAGGTATGCTTGTATCACTGGAAATAACCATGCCTTCCTTACCTTCTTCACAGAGTTATTGTGAGAATTAAATAAGATTATGCTTATAAATCATTGTATATTCAGCCCACAATATAGACCAAATAATTATTTTATATGTTAGTTTTAATTTTCCTTAAGTATAAAATTAATTCATATTTATAATTCCACTTATTTTGTCCTAGTATGGAGAATCTAGTGGTTTACATAGAAATATAAACGGTTCTGAGAAAATTATTTGTGTGAAATTACTTTATAATAAAAGTAGATGTCAATTAAGACATGTTACTTTTTATTTTTAGACATAAATTTAAATGTTTACATCAAAGTAAAAATGCTCTGATGAGCCATGGAACTGAACCTATTGCCAATGTTTAAACAAAATCACAGAGGGTTAATAGGAAAGTTGTACACTGGTTTTAAGAAGACCAAGCAATGAGCCTAAACCAAATGTAATGTCTTCCACTCCTTCCTGCTCCTCTGGAGTTGTGTTCTCATAGGAATCTGAGAGGGTGTGAAGAACTTCGGAGCCTTCCCTCAGGCTGCAGCTTGCCTCTTGCTTCATCATCTAAGCTGCAGTGGTGAAGCAAGCTTCTCACTCTAGGTAGGAGAATGTAGCACTAAGGGATCGAGGTGCTGTCAAATAAAATTTCTACCAGACCAGTAATATTTATTTATTTATTTATATTACATTTTTAAGTTTTGAGATATATGTGCAGAATGTGCAGGTTTGTTACATAGGTATACACGTGCCATGGTGGTTTGCTGCACCCGTCAACCCATCATCTACATTAGGTATTTCTCCCAATGGTATTTCTCCTCTACACTCCCACTCCCCGACATGTCCCTGGTGTATGATGGTCCCCTCCCTGCATCCATGTGTTCTCCTGTTCAGCTCTCACTTACGAGTGAGACCATGCAGTGTTTGGTTTTCTGTTTCTGTGTTACAAACTCATAACATTTTTATGAAATACTAATAAGACTGCAATATGAATATGGCCTCAATTTTCAAAGGATGTAATACTGATGCAGGCCAGTATGAATATATACAGATATCTGTCATAGATAGATAGATAGATAGATAGATATAGATAAATTGGACAGATATTTGTGTTATATACATATATATCACCAGCACACAAAAACCTGTCTCTCAAAAAAGTATTAACTTGAGGTGTATGTCTACCTATTAGTGTCATCAAGAACATTTAATTGTATGTACTGATTATAATTCTATTATATGGTCTCTGAGGAGGGTAGTAATGAGAAAAGCAGTCAGTTTGTAAGACCTGATAGGCAGTATGAATTTCTATTCTGTTTTAAAGGCTATAAATTTCAAAACATTATTCTGATGGGTTAGCTGCCTCTACTAAGAACTATTTAAATAGGCACAGCTAAGAGTAGAAACGTCAAACCAAGCTCAGTCTCTACTAATCACTTATCCCTGGCAGATACAAGTTGAAAATGTGTATCTCAAGGTCCCAGTATGTATTGTTTGCCATTAATTAGAAATTAACAGTAGATTCTATCAACCTTATATTAAACTACATTGTCTTCTAAAAGGAAGATATCCCACCTTACATTTTGTATGCTGTCATCTGGCTTTATAGCAACAAAGATATTTTTAGGAACATCTTCAATATGTTATTCCATATGTTCCAAGATCAGTAGAAGAAAAATGTACTTACTTTTTCTTTTCTGTCCCTGGGACAGGGTTTCTGGCTTCTCCCAGAGTTCCCTTGATTGAGTGTCTTTTCAGTATAGCACGACTTCTGAAGGAAACAAAGGCAGGAAAAGATTTATTAAGATAAACGTCTCTAGTTTCTTGTCTCTTGCAAAAAAGAACAAGTTGTTCCTTAGACAAAAATGTCTAATTTAGACCAAGTGTTGTATGTTTTTAAAAAACATTCATTATCTTTTATATTCCTTTTCCCATATTTTTTTTTTCAGTTTCTCTAGCTGATAGCAAGAGCAGGATAAATTTTCTTGAGTAAGCAATAAACATATATATTTAAGATTTTCACATTTCCACTGAAAAACAGATTCACTAGGTGATAGTCTTTCTCAAATGTGTGATTTAAAAAGCAACATATCCCTGCAACCATTCATCTTTGAATTTAAATACCGGGAGCAAGGACATTGTTTTTTTCAATCGCAAGATATAGTGATTGCAATTTTTGGAGAGAAATAAATCCAGTAAAATCCAGTCTATGCACAATGCCTCACCATCAAGAGGTAACTAACCTAACATTTTGCTATGAATAGGTAGATAACCCACTTGCATATTTTTTTCTGATCATATTCTTTTAGGTGTTTATATGTCAAAGGTCCCCATTTAAAAACTAGTTATTAGCTTTAAATAACTGGAAAACCTAGTTATTTTCATTTACATATATACTTCTGATGGAGGCGGCCACAACTGATCACCCGGTTAACCAGGTGCCCTGTCACTCAGGCAGTCTACGCATTTGAGCAGACACATAGTAAATGCTTAGATGTTAAAAACGAAAGAGCCACGCTTCTTTCATTTTATGAAGATCATCTGTTTCTTTTTCTAAATGTGGGGACAGTAATGTCAATATTCCTCTGCTGATAGAGAGAGAGAGAGAGAGAGAGAGAGAGAGAGAGAGATGGGACAGATATCTGAATACTAGTGTTATTCGGAGCAGGGAAGAGTCTAGCTTTTTATTATGTATTCAAGGATCAATGTCTGTTGTCTTCTCTTCCCTATTTCTTTCTAATAAACCATGAAATTATATCTATTCCAGGCTTTTAATATTTTTCAATTCACTTTTCCTTCCAACTCCATTTTCACGGGCAAATCTAGTTCAACTCTCCCCAGCCATAGCTTCTTCCATCTTGCCCACTGTTCTGGGGTTATGCCATCTCTCACTAGTCTCCCTGGCCTGAGCCATTCCCCTTCCAATCCATCCTGCATACACCTTTCACACTGGGACAATAACTGAGCTTCCAATTTGTATAAAACCCAAGAGCTATATATGGTGGAGATATTTCACTATGATTCTCAGATAAAGTATCATCTTTTTCCCTAAATGTCAACAGCATTATGTTAGCCACTCTAAGTTAGTTTTCAAACAGTTTGATTACTGTTTTTTTCACTTCTGACGTCCTAAGGGCATTGTAAATAAAGGCAGAAACACTGACCTCAATTCTAGTTTCAACTCATCTATTTTTCAGCTGTTGATTTTGAGGAGTCATCTCCTTTCTTGGAGGTAAATGACAGAGCCTTGCTCACCAAATGGCATAATAATATTAATCCTGCCTATATCTCCAGGTTGTTCTGAGATTTAAAGATCACATACAATGAAATTCCAAATATATGGTTATTATGCTCCTTGAAGATCTGCAAAAGTATAAACTTGCTGTCTTTGTTTAACACTAAATACAGATTGGGACCTAAGAGGTATCTGTGATCACACTCTTAAGTCTTACAGCTTTCTTTTGGAAATGTGATGTTCTAAAAAGTTTGGTTTGGCTTTCAAAGAAAAAGAACACCAAAGGAATTATGCTCTAATGTATTTCAATATCAAAGACACTCTGAATCTAAACGAGTGGGAAAAAGGAAAGGGAGCTCAAAACAGTGACAAATCTCAGTTGGCTGAACCTGCCATTTAAATTAACTCAACTGCCATATGTGGCACAGATAATAATGCCATCTTCTTCAAAACTTTGCTAATATCTCCAGACATCACTGGACACTAATAGAAAATATGTCCCTATTCTCTGTCATTGTGTTGTAGGGTTTTAAATGAAAGAAATATAAAGTATGTGCAATAGGATGTTTGTTTTGTTTGCAAAGAGGAAATAAAAGATATCAACCAAATATCACTTAATATATAATTAGCACTGTGACTTCAGCTCAATAGTTTTTATTTTAGACAAAAAAAACAACAAAAAATGCAGCTGATCCATGTTTTTCTCTCCTTCAACCCCTGAGTTCTCATGAGCATTATGTCCTGCTGGTTTCCAGGTAACTTTTATATGGGCTTTTGAATGAGCATTGGTTGCAAATACTTTTGGATGATACTGATTACCTGACTTAACCTCATTACTGTTTTAGATCACTGAATAATTAACCAAATAGGGTACTGAGGATCATAAACTGAAAAGAAACAGATATACCATATCTGTGCAGTATCAATTTCATCAGGCTAAGGGACTAAAAATGGTAATTTTAATAGTACTTATTTTTTTTTAATTATAGTTAAAAACATAAAGTTTATCATCTTAATCATATTTAAGCATATATTTCAGTATTCTTAATCATATTCATATTGTTATACAACCAATTTCCAGAACTTTTTTGTCTTGCAAAACTGAAACTTCATACCCATTAAAATACCACCTCGATTTCTCTCTCCAAAACTCCTGAAAATCACCATTATACTGTCTGTTTTTTATAAATTTTACTACTCTAGATATTTTTATAAGTGGAAGCATATAGTAAATGACTTTTTGTGACTAGCTTATTTCACTTAGCATAATGTTCTAAAAGTTTATCTCTGTGGCGACATGTGTCAGAATTTCTTTCCTTTTCCAGGCTGAATAAAGCCTTAAATAAAAATATCCCAATGTATATACTACATTTTGTTTATGTATTCATCCATCAATGGACACTTGAGTTGCATCCACCTTTTGGATATTGTAAATAATACCACTATGAACATGGGTGTACCAATATCCCCTCAAGTCCCTGCTTTCAAATCTTCTGGATATATACCTAGAAGTGGAATTGCTGGGTCATATGGTAATAGTATTTCTTTTTAACATAATTTTTACAAGAGCTTTAGATTTACAAAAAAATTAGAAGACAGCACAGAAAGTTCCTATAGTGTTCCATACCCAGTTTCCCCTGTTATTAGTATCTTACATTAGTATTACATTTATTACAATTAATGAACTAATATTGATATGCTATCATCAACTAAATCCTATACTTCATGTCTGTTTAGTTTTTATCTAATGTCCTTATGGTATTTCAGAGTGTCATTTAGGATACTATATTACATTTAGTCATCATGTTTCCTCTTTATGGTGACATTTTCTTAGCATTTCCTTGTTTTTAATGACCTTGATAATTTGACAGGTATTTTGTAGAATGTCCTTCAGTTGGGATTTGCCTGATGTTTTCCTCATGATTAGACTGTGGCTATTGGATTTTTGGAGGAAGATCACAGAGGAAAAGTGCCATTTTCATCACATCATAGCAAGAGCCTATAATATCAATATGTCATCACTACTGATGTTGACCTTGCTGAGATAGTGTTTGTCAGGTTTCTCTGCTGGAAAGTTAGTCTGCATCCTGCTGCTTTCCACTGTATTTTTGGGAAAGAAGTCATTATGTGTAGCTCATGATTAAGAAGAAACAAGTTATTTGCTACCTCCTTGAGGATGTTGTAGCTGTATAAATTATTTGGAATTATTCTGCATAAGAGATTTATCTCCTCTTCTCATTTATTTATGTATTCAATTATTTATTCATAATGATATAAATTCATGGTAGATATTATATACTTTGGATTATAATCCAATCTTACTTTATTATGCTCTTCACATTGTTCCAGATTGGGTCATCATTAGCTCTTTCTGTTGGCTCCTGCAGTACTTTTCCTATTAATGCAATGTATATTGCATTATCTATCATCACTAGATATTTCAGCCTTGACATCTAGCATATAGCTCTAACTAAGTAATACAACTGAGAAAAGGTTTATTCAAGTACAATGAAAGATGGAGAGTATGATGAAGCAGGTGTAATGGACATTGTTGTGTGCCACCAGATTCCCTTTCAGGACTGAACCATTCATTTCCCCAGCTGAGTATTGGTGGCTGATGGTCCTCAACTGAGACCTTCCAATTATGAGTTACTTCAGGGCATAAAGAACCAGCCTTGGGCCCTCATTTGGACTGATTCTGAGGGCTCAACCCAGCTGCTGAGTTCCCCATGGAATCAGCTTTCACCTCTACCTGAAATGATCTGTATACATAAGCAGCACTAGGTAGCCTCAAGTAAGGGAGATAAGGTGAAAATCAGCATACTGAACACAAGCAGCTGGAAAGAAATCGGTTGCAGAGAGGAGAGAATTTAAATTGTGAAAAATGTAGTGAGTCAGGTTAGGCTAGGTTATAAGGAATCCTGAAAGCCAGGCAAAAGGTTTAAGATTTAATTAGTAAGCAATACATCTAATTGGGGGTGCAGTCCAATAAAGTACGATGTAGCTGTAGGAAGAAAGAGTATTGAGCTATAAGAAATCAGAAATTGTAGCCAACATTTAGACTAGCTATTAATGCACAGGGCACACTTTGCATGCACCATGTCATTAAATATTCATTACAACTATTAAGATCTCCATTTTGCAAATGACAAAACTGAAGATCAAAAATATTCAGTAACTTATCCAAGATCACATAGCTAAGAAGCCCACTGGAGACATTCAGACTTTGCTCTTATATTAATCTTAAAGTAATGCTATTCAACTCACCAAATCTTAAAGAATATGTAATCATAAGATATGAAAATGTTTCATAAATGTTAAATGAAAGAACTGGATACACTTGCTATACAATAGAATCACAAATTTGTTTCTTTTTTTTTTTTTTTTTTTTTTTTTTTTTTTTTTTTTTTTTTTTTTTTTTTTTTTTTTTTTTTTTNAAAAAAAAAAAAAGCAGTGTTAGAAGGGTGGTGTGCCTGGAGAGGGTGCAGGGCTTCCAACACCCCTGCCAATATCTTGCTCTCTACATCTCTTTTGT